TATAGGTGGTATTCTAAGAGTGATGAGAAATCATCCGAGGGCTTTTAGCTAAACAGTGTCATGACCTAATGTTTAAAAGGACTATCCTGGCTGCTATGTGGAGAATAGGCTAAAAGCGGCAAGACAGCTTATTGTTAAAAACATGTACCAGGCCAGATGCGATGGCTCTTTGGGAGGCCAAGGTGGGTAGATCACTAAGTCAGGAGGTCAAGACCAGCCTGGCCAAGATGGTGAAACCCCATCTCTACTAAAAATACAAAAAAATTAGCCGGGCATGGTGGTGGATGCCTGTAATTCCAGCTACTCAGGAGACTGAGGCAGAGAATTGCTTGAACCCAGGAGGTGGAGGTTGCAGTGAGCTGAGATCGCACCACTGCCTCCAGCCTGGGTGACAGAGCAGCACTCTATCTCAAAACAAACAAACAAACGAAAAAACTCAAAACATGTACCAGCACAGTACTGGATTCAAGATATACTAATAAATAAAAAAAGGCAAGGTGTGGGACAAAATGCATGATACACTGCCATTTGCATTTTTAAAATCTCTATATATGTGTATTTATAACATATATTTGTATATATACACATATAAACATTTAACACCTATACATAAACATTACATATATACACATACACAATATATATTAGATATGTATTTTCTTCATATACATATCCTATATCTGGAAGGAAGGATATGTAAGAAATTCATAACAGTGATACTTTGAAGAAAGGAACTAAATGACAGGATTAAAAGATTATCTTTTGCAATTCTTGAATTTTGTTCTTTTTCTTTTTTGAGACAGAGTCTTGCTCTGTTGCCAGGTTGGAGTGCAGTGGTGCATCTTGGCTCACTGCAACCTCTGCCTCCAGGATTCAAGAGGTTCTCCTGCCTCATAGCTGGGACTACAGGTGTGCACTGCCACACCCAGCTAATTTTTGTATTTTTCAGTAGGGATGGGGTTTCACCATGTTGCCCAGGCTGGTTTTGATCTCTTCACCTTGTGAGCTGCCCACCTCGGCCTCCCAAAGTGCTGGGATTACAGGCATGAGCCACCACGCCCAGCCTTGAATTTTGTTCTATGTAAATGTATTACCTATTTAAAAATAGATAAATATTGTTGCAAACTAGAAAAACAGATAAATAAGCATTAAAAGGGGGGAGGGGAAGGATCAGAATCATTTTACCTGAATGTTAAGAAGTGGTAGCAGAATCAGGATTGACAGATAGGGTTATAACTAAATGTACCAAGATGGATTGGATGCTTGATAGGAAAAAAACACAAACATCACCCCCAAAGGTACTAGTACGTGTGAAATAAAACAAAACACGGCATGGCTTCCTGATACCTTTTTACTTCAATGATAATTTAACTAGTGTCAATTGTGTACAATGATTATATCATACTTTATTTCCTTGATTTTTTTTTTTTTTGAGACAAAGTCTCACTCTGTCTTCCAGGCTGGAGTGCGGTGGTGTGATCTAGGCTCAATGCAACCTCCATCTCCTGAATCCAAGCTATTCTTATGCCTCAGACACCCATGTAGCTGGGATTACAGATGCACACCACTACACCCAACTAATTTTTGTAGTTTTTGGAGAGATGGGGCTTTGCCATGTTGGCCAGGCCTTGCTAATTTTTTTTTAATTTTTAGCAAAGACAGGGTTTCACCATGTTGGCCAGGCTGGTCTGGAACCCCGGACCTCAAGTGATCTGCTCACTTCAGCCTTCCAAAGTGCTGAGATTACAGGTAGGAACCACCGTGCCTAGCCTATTTCCTTGATTTTATGAGGTTGTACTGTTGCAGGCAATAAAATATCCTGTAAAGTCTGAAGCTAGATCAAATTGTTTTTTCTTTTTTACTTCATTTTTCAGCCCACCTGTTCAAATGGTTATCTATTTTTCTTTGAAGTCAAATAAATGTATTTATTATATCTTATTATAGATATTTCACATCATTTTTTTCTGTGACCCAAAATAAGTTAGGATGTGCTAAACTATAATGGTAGACTCCAAAATGAAATAGTACTAACAAAACAAATTTATTTCTCCCTGGAGTAATTGTCAATAATAGGTCTTCCAGATAATAGAACAACTCTTCTCAACATCGTGACTCAGGGGCTCTATTCATACGCTCAGCTCTTTAAGAGAAGAGAGGAGATTGTGGTATCAGGAAAAGAGATTTTGCCAATGATATTTTGTGTCTCTTCAATCAGTTGATGCCAGTCTTTTATTTCTGGAATATTCTTCTGAATAATATCTTAAATATTATTTTTTAAATGTTCACTTGAATATTTTAAATATCTTATTTATGTTTAGACTGAAAGACACCAATCATACATGTGTAGATTTTCCTTTCCTTGTCTTTCACAAGTATCATGTTTTTCTTCAATCCTCTGTGTGTGGGGGGGGGGATGACAGGATCTTGCTATGTTGTCCAGGCTAGAGTGCAGTGGCATGACCATGGCTCACTGCAGCCTTAACCTCCTGGGCTCAAAGGATCCTCCCACCTCAGCCTCCCAAAGTGTTGGGATTACAGGCATGAGCCACAATGCCCAGCCTTAAATTCTTTTCAACTTTAAAAAATTTTGGTCATGTGTGATGACCCATGCCTGTAATCTCAACACTTCAAGAGGTTGAGGCAGGAGGTTCGTTTGAACCCAGGAGTTGGGGACAAGCCTGGGTACACCAGGAGACCCCATCTTAATTTAAAAAAAAATTACCCAGAGGTGGTGGCATGGACTACCTGTGGTCCCAGCTACTTGGGACACTCAGGCAGGAGGATCACCTGAGTCTGGGGGGATTGAGGCTACAGTGAGCTATGGCAATGCCACTGTACTCCTGCCTGGGAAACAGAGTGAGACCCTGTTTCAAAAAAATTGTTTTTGTCACTTAAAAATTCTTTTATTTTTTAAAAAGACAAATCCTGCCCTCTGTGTACATCGCTGTGTTTTCAGCAATGTCTGTTTTCCTCTGTGTTGTTTGCACATCATGTTCACTTCTGCAAATTTTATTGTTCTTTTCACTTCTGTCTAGGCCCTGCTGTCTCATGTTTTGTCAACAGGAAGAAAAACACATCTTCATGTTTTGTTTTGTTTTTGAGGTGGAGTCTTGCTCAGTCACCCAGGCTGGAGAGCAGTAGCACAATCTCAGCTTACTGCAACCTTTGCCCCCCAAGTTCAAGTGATTCTCCTGCCTCAGCCTCCCGAGTAGCTGGGTCTACAGGTGCGTGCCACCATAACCGGCTATCTTTTTTATTTTTATTTTTAGTAAAGATGGAGTTTCACCATGCTAGCCAGGATAGTCTTGATCTCCTGACCTTGTGATCTGCCCACCTTGGCCTCCCAAAGTACTGGGATTACAGGTGTGAGCCACCACACCCGGCCACTTGTATGTTTTTATCTTATCTTCCTTTGACGCTTTGATTTCTGCTTTGTGTTATTTTAATTCATAACAATTTGGTCTCAACTTTTATTTGCTCTATGTTGAGAATGCTTTATCTGCTATTTGTTTTGCTGGGGGCAATATTTCCATCTTTTCTTTCTTTTTTTAATAGTTCCTATTCTAGTTTTTATTTTATTTTAGGTCAACTTTAAATAAAGTGAGTTCTTATCAATTTACTGGAGTTTTGTGTGAGAGAGGCCAGGATGGTATTCATGGTCAGCAGAAACTCTCCTCATAACACAGGGTTATGTGCTACATGCATGAATAAACTTTATTTTTTGCTTCTCTGCAGCCTCCTTTAGGTCAGCACCAATGGGATGTCACAATAGTGACTCTCTCTGCCTCTCCTTCCTCAACTACAGACTACTTCCTGAAAAATATGATTAGTTTACGATATTTCTTGCTCAAATCCACTTCCTCAGCTTTTTGTCAGTACCAAACTGTCCAGAAAAGTTCCCACCACCGGAACCTCATTTCATTGTTGCAAACGAAGAGATTATTGATTTTTCATCTTAGGCTATGCACTTCACTTTAGAGTCATGGATTCTGCTGGCTCTGTACATTTCTGTTTGATCACTGCTTTTGGCCAACCTTTTTTCTATTTTAGTTTCAAATGTCTTCTAGTTGCATCAGATACAGAGTTGACATTACCGTTACTCATTCTTCTTATTACTTTGGGTGGCTGGGCAGTAAAGACCTATGTTCTTTATCATGTTAATACCCGGATAAGATCAGAAGATCATTTTGCATTAATTCTGCCTGGCACTTAGTAGACTCTTCCAATCCAAGTCTTTCTTTAGCTCTGGGAAATATTCTTTTTTTATTTCTTTGATAGTTGTCTCCCTTTTATTCTTACAGTCCTATAGCTGTATAATTTTAGTTATATTTATCTTCTGTGTCTCTTAAAATTGCTGTTTTTTCTTTCCTTTTTTCTTTCTTCTTTGCATAAATTTTGAAAAAATCTCTCAGCTCAGTTTTCCAACTTATTAATTGTATATTCAGCCCAACTATTAGATTTAGCAAAGTTTTTTTTCTTTAAGAAGGAGTCTCACTCCATCACTCAGACTGGAGTGCAGTGGCACAGTATCAACTCACTGCAACCTCTACCGCAAGCAATGCTCCTGCCTCAGCCTCCCAAGTAGCTGGGATTACAGGTGCCTGCCACCATGCTTGGCTAATTTTTGTGTTTTTAGTAGAGACAGGGTTTCACCATGTTGGTCAGGCTAGTCTTGAACTCCTTACCTCAAATGATCCACCTGCCTCAGCCTCCCAGAGTGCTGGATTTACAGGTGTGAGCCACCATGCCTGGCTGCAATCATGTTTTAAAATTTCCATGAATTCTGGCTGTGTTTCATAGCAGCTGTCTCTTGTTTCAATGTGATATGCTTTAAAGTAACTCTGAGGATTTGAACTATGTGTAATTTTAAGTTTTTATCTGTTTCCATGACTATTTTTTTTAGAGTGGGCTAGTTTTATTTGTTAAATTTGGTGCTCTATTTAATGTTCTTGGTTTCTCCAAAATGTTTATTGATTCTTGTTTTTTTGGTCCATTTGTAGGAACAAAATTTCAGTCTAGACTGAAATTCATAGCTGGACACATTCCTCACTTCAAATGAGAACTCCTGTTTACCTGGCAGTGAATGTAAGTTTTGATTACAAGAATCTGCCTCATGGGATTGGGTAGGAATAGGCAGACTCTGCAGGTAACTTCTCTTCTTAGAATGGTTTCCTGACCCTCCAGGGTATTGTCCTTTTCTGCTGACCTTAGCTCACCCTGGAACAGTGGTATGTTGGTAAATGTTTGATAACTAGCTGCTCTGGGTGTAGTCGGGGAAGTTCTGATTTGCAGCATTTCCTGATTTCCATGCAATATAAGATCTCCCATCCTAGCCAATTTCAAGCTAGCAACATAACATCACTGAATGGGGAGCTGAGATGTGCAAACTAGATTCCCAAGACTGAATTCATTTAGCACACCACTGTTCTGGGTCTGCTGTACTGTGTCAGAAAACTATACCCACTACTCTCGTGTAAGCCCAAACAATGGAGCCAGCTGCTCCAAAAGCAACTCCTGGAATTCATGGGGACTTAAGGAAGTTTGCCCTGCTAGATTTTTCTATCAATCAATAACCATGTTTTTATTTTTTTCAAAAATTCCTTTCTATGTTGTTTGCTGTAAGTACCTTTTCTGGTTTTCCTGTGCTGCTTTGAATTAATTTTTCTATTTCTTTGATTTCAGTGGAATTTGGAGAAGGAATAGCAAAGTGGAAGTCCTTCTCCTATTTCATGCCTTAACTTGTTTTTATTGGAAGTTACTTCCTTTTTCGTCTCAGAGGCTGATTCTCCTCCCATAACCAGTGATTTTCCTATAAGCTCATTATCCTGGATGATGGTTTGACTAACCAAGGCTACTGGCTGCTGAGGGGTTTCTGAGGAAACTTGGGTAGCCTGATAGAGGCCATCTGCCTCTCCACGTGGGTTCTAGTTGTGGAGTACACTGCTATGTTCATGGAGGCCATGCACATTGGCCAGAGAAGAGCAGCCCCATTGCAAAAGGATCTAAATGAGTATTTTCCATGCTCACGGGTCAAATGAGAGGACGTCCCACATTTATTCAGAAGGTAGTTGAAAGTGGTCAGCCCCAGATCTCCTCCATATGACTCTTTGGTTGATGCTACTTGTACCTCAATACTTGGAAGGCCCATTCTGGCCAGGAACAACTTTCACTTTACTCTGAAAACATGGGCAGGTGGGCACAGAATAGAGCGACTCTATCCCTGGGACAGAAACTCCTTCAGGCTTTGTGGCAGACACTGTTATATGAGTCTTTAGGTGAGTTAACTCATTTACTCTTTGGAACAATCCTCTGAAGTAGGTTTTGTTATTATCCTCAGTTTACAGACACAGAAACTGAGACACAGAAAGACCATTCACAGTAAGTGGTTGAGGCAGGACTGAAACTCAAGAAGCCTTGTGACGGTTGTGATGAGTTAGTAGTGATGGTGGCTACGAGGTAGGTGTGTGAATAGATGTGTAGTGGCTTCTCCTCCAATGGAAAACTCCCAAAGCATTATGAAACAGCCTGGTAGCTGCAGTTGCCCAGGTGTGCAGGAGCATCGGTGAGCTCAGCAGACTCTGTTCCAAGTCACATTAAAGAGGCTGATTTATCGCAAACCTATCTCCTAGAGACAGAATATAGTTTCCAAAAATGGACAAAACATGACCTCCCAACCCACATGCTGTTCTTACGATGTAACTTTGATATTATATTCATGTTTAGAGGTGGAGGTCCATGTTTCTTCCCTTTGATGCTGGGCAGAATTCTGACTACAATGGAAATAATGCTATATGGCTTTTGAGGCTAGATCCTAAAAGGCAGTGCAATACACATATAGTTCTCTTGGAACCTTTAATCTCGAAATCCAACCACCGTGCTGTGAAGAAGCCTGCATGCAGCCCATGGAGAAGTCCACACAGCCAGAAAATCTTAGGCCCAAGGCTCACATCCCCAGCTGAGCTACCAGCCTATAGCCAGCCCCAAGGTACTGCCATGTGAATGAGACACCTTGAAAGTGGATCCCCCAGGCCCAGGCAAGCCATTCCTGCCAATAAAATGTGGAACAGAGATGTGATTCCTTTTTAAGCCCTCCCCAAATAACAGATTCATAAGGAAAAATAAAGGACTGCTGTTGTTTTAAGCCACTAGGTTTTGGAGTAGTTTGTTATGTAGCCTTACATACATTCCTGGATATTACCTACTTGTCTCCAAAAAATCCAAAGCTTTAGTCTAATAGGTGGGACTTCCCCTGAGGGCTCCAGCAATCATCAAACTTTTCCCATAACTTTCACCAAATTGTTGAGCTGCTCTAGGAGAGGAAGAATATCAAGAGTATATTTACAATCTTCCTTGATTTTATTTACCTTTAATTTTAACCTATTTAGAATACAATTTAGATGGAGTCATAACATAGGAATCTAACTTTGTTTCTAGTTATAACACAACAGTTCATTACATTTTCATAATTTTGCTATTGATTTAAAATATAATCTTTATCATAAGTTGGGCCCCTAAAGTCAATATTATCAAGGTAAAGTTGAACACAAAATAAACCTACACACAGAGGTGGTGGAAAGGAAATTTGCTAATTTGACCTTCACACTAGTTGGAGACAACCTCTGCTAAAAATTCATAACCACAAACTAGCACTTACATGAATGTGTAGTCTGAGTGCATGCTACTTTAAAAAAAAATCAACCACTCTCAAGAAGAAGATGTATTTCAAAGTGGCCCTGGGTTACTTGTATGCCAAGTAAGTAGCAGAGGCAAACACAAATTATCTCTGAACAACAATAATTTCAACCCATGCCTCAAGAACTTCCACATATAAACTTCCAAGAAACATGAAATAAGCAAATTTAAAAATCACAAAACACAAGGAAACCAGGAGTTATAAATAAAAGAGAATCACACATACAAAGAATTCAGATATTGAAATTATCAGACACAGAGTATAAACAACTATGTTGCCCTGAAATTATCAGACACAGAGTATAAACAACTATGTTGCCCAAGCACATATGTTGCTCATGCTTGTAATCCCAGCACTTTGGGAGGCCAAGGTGGGAGGATCATTTGAGGCCAGGAGTTCAAGACAAGCTTGGGCAACATGGTAAGATCCTGTCTCTACCTAAAATAAAAAACTTACCAGGCATGGTGGTATGTGCCTGCAGTCCTGGATACTCAGGAGGCTCTCTTGAGCCCAGGAGTTTGAGGCTGCAGTGAGCTATAATCATACCACTATACTCTAGCTCAGGCAACAGGTGAGACCCTGTCTTTAACAGGAAAAAAAATTATGTTTAATATGTTTACACACAAAAAAATTGAAAATAATGAGCAAGGAATTAAGAGACTATATAAAGTAACCAGATTTGAAAAAGTATCAACTTGAACTTTTAGTTCAATACAATAAACAAAATAAAAAACTCAACAGAAAAATTAAGTGGAGGATTAAACAGATCTAAAGACAAAAATCAGTGAACTGAAAGATAGCTATTTGAACACTGTGAGAAAGAGATAAAAATATTAAAAAGAGGCCGGGCATGGTGGCTCATGTCTGTAATCCCAGCACTTTGGGAGGCCAAGGTGGGTGGATCACTTGAGGTGAGGGATCCTTGAACCCAGGAGGTGGAGGTTGCAGTGAGCCGAGATAGCACCACTGCACTCCAGTCTGGATGACAGAGCAAGACTCCATCTCAAAAAATATTTATGTTAAAAAGTTATTAAAAGATAGAAAACAGGCTGGGCGCGGTGGCTCACGCCTGTAATCCCAGCACTTTGGGAGGCCGAGGTGGGTGGATCACGAGGTCAAGAGATCGAGACCATCCTGGTCAACATGGTGAAACCCCGTCTCTACTAAAAATACAAAAAATTAGCTGGGCATGGTGGAGCGTGCCTGTAATCCCAGCTACTCAGGAGGCTGAGGCAGGAGAATTGCCTGAGCCCAGGAGGCGGAGGTTGCGGTGAGCCGAGATGGCGCCATTGCACTCCAGCCTGGGTAACAAGAGCGAAACTCCGTCTCAAAAAAAAAAAAAAAAAGATAGAAAACAGAGTGAGGTCTAACAAACATTTTATGATATTCCACAAGTAGGCAAGAAAATATTCAATGTTTTAGAAGTGAATGGATAAAAATTATTAATAGGCATTAGTCTGCAGACCTAGCAAGACCAATGTCTTCCAAGCAGGATAAATTAGAAATATTTCCACAAATAGGATAAATTAGAAGGATTTCCACATAGTTTTAAGAGCTTAGAAACAAAGTGTAAAGCAGATAATCTACCAAAAAAAAAAAAAAGGCAATTAGATTGAGGACTGACTATTCAACAATTTAAGACTCAAGACAATGGAATAATATCTTCAATGTGCTAAGAGAAAATAAAGGTCAACCTAGAATTATCCACCCAGTGATGACCTTTCAAAAAAGAAAGCAAAATTAAAAACAAAATTAGGCAAGCAAAAACAGAATTTACTATAAACAGTGATATGGTTTGGCTGTGTCCCCACTGAAATCTCATCTTGAACTATAGTTCCCATAATCCTCATGTGTCATGGGAGGGACCCAGTGTGAGGTAATTTAACCATGGGGGTGGTTACCCTCATGCTGTTTTCATGATAGTTATGAGATCTGATGGGTTTATACGGTATTTTGCCCCTTTTGCTTGGCACTTCTTGCTGCCACCATGTGAAGAAGGATGGACTAATATAAATGAATCTTTACTAAAGAAAATTCTAAGGTATGGGTCGGGTGCAGTGGCTCATGCCTGTAATCCCAGCACTTTGGGAGGCCCAGGTGGGCAGATTACCTGAGATCAGAGTTCTAGACCAGCCTAGCCAACATGGTGAAAACCCATCTCTACTACAAATAGAAAAATTAGTAGCCAGGCTTGGTGGCACATGCTTGTAGTCCCAGTAACATGGGAGACTGAGCCAGGAGGATCACTTGAACCGAAGAGGTAGAGGTTGCAGTGAGCCAAGATTGTGCCACTGCACTCTAGCCTGGGCGACAGAGAGAGACTCCATCTCAAACCACAACAACAACAACAACACAAAAAAACAAAAATGAGAAACCAAAAAACAACATGGAATGAGTAGAGGAGGAAGGATGGTATGAACATCAATTAGTGGTAACTAGTTGCAGAAAAGAAAAAGGATTTTAGCAGCCACCCATGGTCTCTTCCTTGCTTTATTATTAAAATAGTATCTATTAACCAATTTTCTTCTCTTTCTGATGAATCAATGGTGATTAAAAACTTCATCCTTAGGATACAAGATATCAAGATACCAGGAATTAAAAAAAATCTATTCAGAAATCAAATTGGATTTGTTTGTTCTAGTTCTTTGAGCCCCTCTCTGAAGCAAATAATGACCACCAAGGCTCTGAAGCTTATGCATGGGGGAAGGAAAGTAGAGAGGAAGAGGAGACAGAAGAGAAGAAAAACTTATGTTAAATATTACCAATTTTTGACCTGATATATATATATATATATGTATGTATATGCATATACATACATATATAAAACAAAAATTCCTTAAAATACCTTTATTCATACTGATATAAATGAATAAAGAGTGGGAAAGGAAAGACTCTCCCTATAGTAGAATGCTTACTTAAACATGTAGAAAAACACAATTTGGTAATCCACATAGTAATAATTGACTCAAGGCAAGAAAAATCTATAAATGCTAAAACTACTGGAGGTGTAATGAGGAAAAAGGATACAGTATTTGGATCGTTTCAAGTATTGGTCCACAAGATACTTATTAATTGCAGAGAAAGTAGTAACTTTACATTTGAAAAACATGGTAGATACCACCTTAATCAAGAGATCAAAGTTGGTATTACTAATGAAACAAATTCGTATGTTTTCCCTGTAGAATAGTATTTCTGCAAACAATCCAAATTTCTAGATCCAATATTAAGGAAACAGCAGATGAACCAAAGTTGTGAGACATTCTACAAAATAACTGGGTTTTCCTCTTTAAAAATGTCAGTCATGAAAGACAATGATCGAAGAAACTTTCCAGATTGGAAATAAAGAGACAAAGCCACCTGAATACAATAAGTGATCTGGGAGTTTTCTTTGCCAAGGTTGCAAATTGAGTCTTAATTTTGATCATGTTTTTGTGGCTATGTAAGAGAATATTTTAGGACATACAGTTTGAGGTATTTATGGATAAAGAGGCATCTGTAACTTACTCTCAGATGTTTCAGGGGAAAAAAAGAGTTGTAGTTATTAATATTTATTTCTCTATAAAAATTACCCTCAAACGTAGAGGCTAAGAACAATAATAATATTTACTCAATAATATTTACCCAAGTGAATACCTTATGTGTGGTTGCTATGGAAACAACCAAGATGTTCAACAAGTAAAATGATAAACTGTAGTATATTCATATAATGGAATACTACTTAGTAATAAAAAGAAGTGAGCCATTGATTCATGCAAAACTAGTGAATCTTAAATGCATTTTGCTAAGAAAAAGAAACCAGATTCAAGAGGCTATATGATTTGATTTCTATGACATTGAAAAGACAAAACTATAGAGTTGGAAAATAGATCAGTGCTTGCCAAGGATTGGGAGAAGGGTGAGTCGTTGACTACAAAGGGCCTGTATGAAGACACGGAGTTTAGGGTGATGGAACTATTTTGTATAGTTCTAGGGCAGTGAAGATGTGTCTTGCTACATTTATTAAAATAGAAATTTTACTGCAAACAGATTTAGAAAATAAATCAGAAAATCGGGGGAAGTGGGAATCCAAGTATGAAATGCAGATTGAGACAAGTGAATTTAATTTTGTCATGACCTCATTGAGAGATGAAAAAAGGAGCTGACCTAAATAACTTTGGAAAATGGTGTAATTTGAAAATTTGGAAAGTGTTGTAATTCTGAAACTACATGTTTACTAGACTTGGACAAATTTGTAAACACACTGAAGATAACTGGAGCTAAGTTTATTACTTTCAGAAAAATAAATTATAAATAAGTAAAAGGGTGGGAAGAAAGAGACTAGAATGGATTGTAGTTGAAGATATATGAAGTCATGTTTATTTTCCTATAGTAATAGAGAAATGTAGATATGTGGGTATACATGGGTTTGTATATACATATTTGTTTCCTTGCCCTGCTCACTGAGAAGACTAGAACAGTGGCAGGAGCAGTTAACTCACACAATGGCTGGATCTTGGTTTCTAAATGCCATTCTCCAATAAAAAGAACCAGGACTTCTTAAGGAAACAGCCAATTCTAGGGCTGGGGCAGGAAACATTCAAGGTGAGCCTGGAGCATCATATAGTGCCAGAAAGAAGCACCACAAAATAAAAAAGATGGGAGTATGT